AAGGAAAGCAGCAATGCCAAGGATATTGAAAAATGTAACCACGGTTTCATATATTTCCAATAAGGCTGTCTGGTAGTTTACTGCATTTCCTCTCTCAGTAATTAGTGTCCTATAGGGATCTGTTTCACTGCAAAAAATTGCATAAACCATGAAAAGATTAAACGYAATTATCATTATTTCCATTTCTGGGGCAAGGCCTTTTCATAAATAATTATGTCGCAGTGTAAAACTGGACTATACAGTTGGCAACTTATACAGTTGCCCTATCATTCATAATAATGAGTAGGATAATAAGCCACAAGCCAAATCTTCACGTTCTCATTAGATAGAGAAGATTAATTAGGACTTTAACCAGAAATGCCACTAAGCATCATGCTTACTTAGGTAATTAAAGCACTGAGCATATTGAGGCTTATGTTGTTTTCCAAATCTGCAAACAGTATGATGCTGACAAATCTACATTATATAAAACCATATGGTCCTCAAATAAAGTTAGAAAAACTTTATTTATGTGYGTCATGCTTTCATATTAAAGTCACTTTAAGGTCAAACAACCAGATTTTCTTCTCACCCTGTTCTCAACTATTGTTGTGCAATTCAAGGTGGTACCTTTGATGTAAAACTACTGTGACCAGTACCTCTGCCAGCGTGACAAGGACTCATCTCTACAGGAGAAAAGCAGAAAGACCTCTCCCCTCAACTGGATGAGGTTAATGAATTGACTCAGTGACAAGATGCTGACTCAGAGCAGCCAATGGCATCAACTCCCATCTCCTACTCATTAAATTTTCAGAGGGAATAATTTTGGATGGAATAGCCTTTTCCTGTATTTTATGCTTGAAGGAGTTGCCTGTAAATACCTGAAAACCTGTTTTTGTCACATCTCCCTTTGGAAAGATACTTTTTGTTCTAGCCTGCCCATAAACAATGGACTGAACATTGGTGTGTTTAAAATACCAGSTGAACAGGTGGTGTGTTTAAAATACCATTTACCACACTGACAAAACCACACCAGTCTCCCATTTCTTCACTTCTCTTTGTCCATCTGCTGACCCTCCTCATCTCCTTCACCATAAGGGCTATGGGACACGTCTCCTGTTCTATTTCTTATTCTGTATAAAATGTAGGCCATGCCTATAGCTCATGGGYACTGCTCCTATGTAAATAATGTACATTAATAAAGTCAAGTCATAGCTGAGGTCAAATCTCTTTGGGTATYTTCAGAATATTTCACTGATGTGGGAAGATAAATATTTATGCCCATGTTGAAGAACAAAAAGAGAAGGAACTGTTCTATCATTTAATGGTTCACAGGGTCAAGTAGTAGTTTAGGAATCTATATCCAAGAACCCCAACTRAAACATTCCTAGCTTAAGCTTATGACTGTTTGTTTTAAGAACTGAAAAGCTTATCAAGAAAGTCTACCCAGAGAAAAACTTCTTTATTTTTTTTGTCAAGATGGAGTGTTTATTCTCCAAAGATCATTTCAYCTCAGTTTAAGTCACTTGCAAAATAAAAGTAAAAAAACCCAAACAAACAATTAAATATCTCTTTTGGTAGGCAAATTCCTCATTGCAGCAACATTCTCAATAGAGATCAGTGAGCACATTCTGAGCTATACAGAAAACAAAGTTCAACATGACAAAAAGGGTCTCTTAGAAGGCTTTTCAAAGGACTTCAGGTTTCAGCTTTCCTTTTCATTCTGGATGATTTGGTCAAAGTAGTTGAAATGCAGGCAGCACTCAGAAAGGTACTGCCTTTTGTTTGTTTGTTTGTTTGTTTTAAAGATTTAACAAAACACTGAACCAACCAAAACGTATATAGTCAAAAAATGGAAAAAACAAAAAATAAGAGAAACCTGAATCTCTCCCTGGCTGAGAACGTGGAAGGTTCTCAACCATGAGACAAACAACTAGAAGTAAACTTCAATTGCCTCATTCTAACTGCCCATGAAATTACATTTCATGAAGTGTAACAAAAARCTTTTAGAATTATTCCACATTCCTGTCCTAAGTAAGATTCCACAAGAGTGAAAATGATCTTGTGTGCTTTATTCTAGCAGAGGAAAAATACTACTTACATTCTTTTTCAAGCTGCTTCTGGCAACTTTTTATTTTCTTTTAAAAGAGAACTTTTGTTGACAACCCCATGCTCCGCAAGAGCAGTGGAGGCGAAGTGGCTCTTTCTCTGAGCACAGCAACTCTCAAGGAATGCTGTCCTTCCCTATACAACAAAGGYTTCCAAGAGAGATAATGATTTAAATCAACCAATTTCTTGGCACAGAAGTTCCATGTAGAGTGAAGCAAAGTTTTCTGCAATTGTGGCAGCAAYGTTCCCTGTGGCTGCTTGGCCCCATGTAGGTCCAGAGCAAGGACTGGACCAAAGAGGGATCACAAGGAAATGTGAGCAGAGCAAGAAGAGGCACCAGACAAAAACTAAAACAAGTTGATCTCTGTCACAAGAATAGCTGAGACAGGACATTCTTTTTCTAGTAATCTGAGTCTGGCAGGACTTCAGCATGGGTATTGAACTGAGAAAAAATTCTAGACTAGATGAGAAGTCCCAGTTATTAAAAACATTGGAATACCTTTGCACGATCGATCTGGRATCCTACACCAGGGCTCATTTGTGTTTCTGACTGATCACTTGTTAAGAAYACCTAATCCATTCACACTTGAAATCTCTAGCCCTTGTTTGAGAATTACATAGGTTGGTTTTCACTCCTCTTTATTGCCTAAAGTGTTATTAGTTTTTAGSAGGATATAATTTCCTCCTTAAAATGTGTGAAGGTGGGCATTCCAGACAGGCATGGGAAACCAATAAAGCCATTGTCAGGCAGGAAAGATTAAGGAGAAGACAATTAAAGATCAGTTACTGTCTTGTAAATTCTATTTCCTGGATAAGAATCAACAGGAACTGGATATTCTTGTGACTTCCAAGTTAAATTCAGGGTAGTGCCCTCAGGCTCAGGGATCAATAGTTCTGGCTTTGTCACTGTGCTGTGAGCAATTTTAGTCAGCAGCAGCTCTACAAGCTCTGATGGGAAAAAGGTAATTTAAAAATCAGAAAATCWGCAGTCCCAATTACCACAAAGCACCAAATGTAATTTTATTTTTTTAAAAGATTCCTAGATTAAATAATGTTGTCCACTAATGTTGCCTTGTTCACTCTGCTATGCTTTGTAATTTAGTAAACTAGYACCAATGTCATATCTGAAGTGCATTTCACACGCTGTTAGGTATAATAATGCATATGGTATGCTTCATTTAAACAATCAGATACACCTATTACTAGTCACTTATTCTGCTTTTTGTTATTGATTGCTTTTTATTYCACTGGATGAGATAAATTAATCCTGTTGACAACTTTCTTGCAAGATCATCAATTAGAAATTTTCAGTCAAGCAGCACATATTAGATGTTTTTTACTGGAAGAACATTTCCAGTAAAATGATTTGGTATATTCTAAAACGTCCACCCAGCACAACAGATTCCCAGATAGAGCTGTGCTAAGCTCAGAGAAGTTAGAGCTGAATGTCATAAAGCAGTAAGAGAACTCCTCCTGYWSTCTWGTTYATTTCCCRTGCTTCCCTGACACTTATAYCATCTCCAGGCTCTTTATTTATTTCTTGTTTTCTTACCTTTYGTCTTACTCCAGTCACCATTATAGAATTTTAGAAGAGGTGTATATTAAGACCTTATGTTCACCTTATGGAAGTTGGCATTGATTAGCCTCACACTAAAAATAATAACCTGAATCAAATTCCTGAAACCTGAGTTGACAAGGTAAACAGAAAATGTCCCMTGTCTGTAGTCWCATCATGTRTGAGACTTTCTAYATTTTTATTTTATTAAAAACACAGCTTGGTTTCAATCACTGAAAATATTTAAATCTGACTAAACATTTGATTCCTACTGTGGTCACATGAGAACAGCTCACAGGAGGGTTTTACTTTCTCTCTACCTCCCTTGGATTAATAACTCCACCAGAAAACCCAAAACAAYGAGCTCCAAGTCAAAATTGAGCAATAGGGGCAAACTTCAGATCCAGCACTGTGTCACATTACTGATGGTGAAAACCTKAAATCAGTGTGCCAAAGAACAGCTACTCCTAATTAAAAGGAGAAGCAAAGTATCYACCCTTCCTTAAATTGGTACATGTGTATGCAAACCTGCAAGAATATGACTGTGGCAGCTCTGGCTGCAACAGAAAAAATTCTTTCTACCTCTCAATAAATAACAAAGACACATTATTTCAGAAAAATGTTTAGCTCTGTCAATAGTCCACATCATAAGTCTCTAAAATCTTTCATCTATTATAAACTTGTTTAATAATCTTGTCATCTACTTCGCTGCTTATTAATTGAATGGAAATGTCTCTGAGCCACAGGGCACATGAGATATCTGATTTCTTTATGCATTATGCATACGCAGAAGCAGCTGAGAGCTGTAAATTTTCCTRTTAGGGGACTCTAATGGGCTATTTAAAGAGAAGCAGTTAGGGCTGACTCTTGTAAAATGGAATTACAGCYACCTTAAAAAGGGTTCCACATGTTAAGGTACGCCAGCCCAGYTTCCAAAGTGCCATGCTTTAAACCTACATTACCAGAATTCCTAATGCTTGGTGAGATGAAAGTAAATTACATTTATATGTGGACTCGCAGATTTATTTCGTTTTCAAGGTATTAAAGAAACAAAATAGAGAGAAATTGAATGTTTTTGGTTTGCATCTCCTTTTTAGTTCAGATCACCTTTAAAAGGTCACAGGAATGAAAAGGGAGAATAAAAGTGAGCAGAATGAGGAAGATGAATCTGTTGAAAACCCCCTGAAAAGATGAGTAAAGCTTTTCATTTTGAAAGCATTGAGTCAAAACCATATATAATAGCCCTATTGATGGAATATTACACTGGGAGAACAATAACAGAGACAACATCAATGAAAATAYATAGTAGTTCATATCCAAAGTATCTATTCAATTAGGGCCAAAATCCCATACTCACCAAGGGTGGACAGACCTCAATAGAGCCCAGACGTCATCTCTGTAATCACCCCAAGCAGACTGTCCTTTTACAAAGACATTTTCTGTTTGARCACTGAAAATTCTGTTCAAACTTTRAAAATTGCACCTGTAAACAAATGAGAAAGCATAAAATTAAAAYAATATATAATTAAATACAAGGTAGRTTTTMATGGAGAAGKGRGGAGAGGAGAAGAGAGGAAATTACAAGCCTGTACAGGACAGAAAATAAGGATTAGACAGGATTGACCATTTTTATTTAAAACACTGCCAGAGTGTTACGTAACATTTCTTATTAATATAGGTAAGTGAAAGGAACTCAGTTGCAGCATAAGAGTTAAATATGATGAGTTTAATACATGGGCAAAAGAAAATTAACACTGTTTAGCACCACTAAAGCACTCTGCCAAAATGCAAATCTGAACTAAAGCTTTTAATACAAGCATAGATGGAAGTGAAACCCCATCCAATTCAATCCAAATATAAAATCTGATTTGATTCCACTGCTGAAGTGGAAAGACAAACACAACAGTAAGGCAAGAACTGGCTCTTGGATTCAGCTTTGAGGATCTGTACATCAGTTTTTTTCTGAAGTCCTGCAGTTGAGTGAGTTCTGTCCAAGATCCACAGTCACCGCAGTAACCATCTTAGAATGAAGTTGGGATGCAATTTCTCAGTTCAAGCGCGCAAAGCAAACACTCATTTATTATTAGCAGAGAAGTTTAAACAACTTTCACAGCACTTAAAAATCCTCCTGCCAGGTCTGTACTATGACCCTGAAATAATAAGCAATTTTTTTGTCTGAAAGTCAAAYAACCAACCAGCCACATTAAACATGGATACTTGAGAGTAATGTGTGATAAAAGCACGTAATAACTCAATTTAGACCCATTTGTATAAAGGCATTTTTCCAACACCACATGAGATAAACTCTGTAAGTATYGATGCTGCTTCTGGTGCAGATTCTTAATGAGCATCCCTAGAAAAACTAAAAAGGGGGAACACAGATATAGCACCCACTTTATTGCCACTTTCAATGCCAAATTGTTCAATAACATAAGGCAGCAATGGACTGGACAATGTGTCTAGCAAGACAGGAAGGACAAGGGGATTTTTGGGAAACTGAAAAACAAGATATATCAGTTTCTGAAAGAAAATGCTGCATCCTACAGACAAAATACACACATATGCCTTTATGGTGGGAAGTCACATTTTTAATTGGGGGTTTTCTCAGTGTTTTCTTCGTATTGTAAACTCTGTTACAGAGGCAGAATATTCTGGCTCGATAATTCACCATTGATGCTTCTTGAGTACCTGCAAGTGTTGCCTTCAAAGTTTGCTTCATTACCAGGCACAAACCACAAACAGCACATGATTAATAATTTTCTCATCTAAATTGTGTCTGAATGCAAGAACTTGTCTGGTTTCATAGCTGACTTTTATTATTGTTGCTCTTTGTGGAGGAAAAATGGTGATTCAGTTAGTCTGGTCCCTATCTGACCTTTCAAAAGTTTAAGAGAAAAATTGAGTTCAGGATATGAAACACTGTGTTTGTGGTGATGCTGAACGTTTTGAACCAGATATATCCTACACAGTGTACAGACAGCAGGAACATTCAGTTTTGCTTACCTTTTCCAACCACTGCATAATAATAACAACCCAATTTTCTGATCTGGATCCTGCAGGATTTTTTTTTTTTTTTCCTTCAGACTACTTCTCTAAGTCTCTGGCTGACTCATCATATAATGTATCTCAGAGGCCTGTCTGTCTCCTCAAATTRAGTTGAACAGGCTACTGAAGAGATGAATGACAAAACTGGTATTTTCCACTTGCAAAATAATTCAAGTTCTGTTATATATTTACCATCCAAACCTTTTCACTTTTTGCCATGTAGTCACTTTTCTAAATAACAGATGTAACATTCTTCTGTATTCTATTTTACATACACAGACCTGTTAAATAAGTATCTAAGAAACAGACACTGTAAATGCTTCAGATCTGATATTTTATTATTAATTTGGTTTTAGATCCTCACCTAGGCCAGAGCCCCAGAAGAACAAAACTTTTCAAAGGACAATGGAAGGCAACCTTTGCCTTAACAGAAGGTCAGGAAAACAGATAAAAAACAGAGCACCCTCTGAAAGCCATTTAGYCAAGGATGCAAGATCATGGATGTGACTAGCTTAAAAATCAAGCTTTGTGTTTGCAGAGGATGATAAGGAAGCAAGAATTGCTTTGGAGTTTTTGGGTAGTGCACCTGCAGATGAACAATCACTACAGAACAGCTTCAGAAAAATGAGTTCAGAACTTTGCTATTGTCTCTACACTTATTTCCTCACTGTGTTCTGCCCCTTGAACAATCAGAAGACAATTTTCAGGAAACTGCCCTTGCCAGAGAAATGCAGGCAATTTGTAAGCAGAGTTCCAGGTATTTCCTCCATTTTCTCATGTTTAACACTCCCCTGTGACACAGTTACCTATCCTTGTGTCCCTATACACACCTCTCTCCTTCAATCACAATTACATTTGCATTTCCAGTCCCAACAACAAGAGAAGGTTTGTGCCAGTTGTGACCTCCCAGCTCCTCCCTTTTGACTGTTTTGAATGCAGCTCTGCTTCACCCAAAACACTCATCCTGCACACCCCAGGACGAAAACAGCAACACTGACCACACCAGCTTTTCTGCCATGGGCTAAATCAAACACGGGCCACCTTAACCCTTTGTGCCCTTTTTCCAAACCTCTACCTGTGCTGGCAG